TTTTTCCCCGCAGGAATTTTTGTTGATGCTGTGAATTCCATGGGCCAAACCTCTCTCTTCACTGCTGCCCTGCTGGGGATGGCTAAAATCGTGGATGTGCTGCTGGAATATGGCTCGGATGCTAATCAGTTAAGTATCAAACATTTCTTTTTCTGTTTTAATTGAAATTAATCTTTGAGTRGGTTTAGTCAGTGTAAAATGCAATATTCACTGTGTGTTTATGAAGAAGTGATTAAAATGCACTTCGGTATTTTAACCAAAGTTAAATAGATAAATAATTTCCATTTTTTCACGGTTTATTTTGTTATTTGGGATATAAAAAAAATTTTAAAAAGCAGATATTCAGCTTTTCCCCCAAAAGCCCAGCTGGTGAGTGCAGTGGGGGTGGGCTGAGCATTTTTTGCTGTTCCCCAGTCGCTGCTACGATGGGAGCACCCCAGTCCACGCTGCTGCTTTCTCGGGAAATCCGTGGATCCTCAGCAAATTACTGGATGAGGGAGGAGATCTCCGAGTCCACGACAAAGAGGGGAGAACTCCCCAACTCTGGGCTTTGTCAGCCCCCAAGGAGAGCAACGCTCAGGTATTGGTGTGGAAAGTTTATTCTTGACCTCGATGCTGATTTTAAAACTCCCTTTTCCTGTTGTTTTMTCTTAAAAAARMCCYTGAAATWATGATTTTCCCTGGSTGRAATTCCAAAAGTTTGTCACCTRTTTGAAGTCAGTTTTTTACCCATTKTCACAGAATTGATTTTCTTCGAGTGTTTCTGTTACTCTCAAAACACCCATTTCAATACTGCAAGTAACTCTTTCTCCAATGGTCGTGATTTACTAATTTTAAATATTTTTTCTTGTACTGAAGCTGTATTTTTATTGTTTTTCCCTTCTCCTTGTCCTGCCCAGGTGCTGGAATTTATCCAGCAGTGCACGGTGCACATGCAGGCTGCAATTTGGAACCTTCCCTCYGATCTGCTCAGGAAAGTTGGCTCCTCCAAGGCTTTGATCTGCAGCCCCTCGAGGTTTGGTGGCCTTGTCCAGTAAGAAATTCTTACTTCCATATCCTATTTTCTTCAAATTAATAATTGTTTTGTTTCCTTTTGCCAGATTTAAAGATTTAAATCCACCGTGGTAAACTTTATTTCTGTTCGGACTGTTCAAAATAGAAACTTGATGGTTGTAAATAAATATATTAAGAGAAGCTTTATTAATTAAACTCTGGAAATCAGCATTAAAAGCACTGAATTTTAGTAGCATTAAAATGGTGACATGAAGTTGTTTGGGCTTTGACTTTTTAAGRTCACTGCAGATTTTTTGGGGTTTTTTTTTCCAGCTTTTTCAAGGGTTTTTGTGTCAGATACATTTTTTTTGAACAACAAAACAACAACAGATTTTTTTTGAACAAAAAAAGCAGGATGCCTCTGTGTGTGTGTATATTTATAAATTTATTGTCTATCTTGCTTTAAACAAATATTATAAAATGCATCTAAWAAGTTTCAAAGAGTTGCACAAGAATTTTGGATTTTAATGTGTATGGGACCGGTCAAATGCATTGTTCTGGCAGAAACTCTGAAGTTTTTTTTTTTCTGTCTCTGTATTTATCTTTTACTCCAAGCCTTGGGATAAATTATTTGCTCTTATTGCTTTTGTTTTTGATGTTTAGAAGTGCTGACAGTCCTCTGGGTAAATTCCTGAAAGGAGAYCCCAGTGTGGCCAAGAACATTTACAGCTTTGGTTTTGGGAAGGTAAGGCRCTGTGATTTTTTCCAGTGATAATAGAACATTTTTTTCCATTTTATTCCTCACAGTAATTATCCCACCTGTGCTATTTTTAACTTTTGGTGCATTTTTATTTCTGCTGAAAAGAAAAAAAAAAGCACAAAGAGCAGAAATATTCAGTCCTTTGGTGGTTAAACCCTGTCAGAGGGAGCTGCTTTGRAACAGCAGAAATTCCTGTTAAATTAGGAATTTAGGGACCTGTGGGAGTCCCTAAAAGCTGGTTCTGCTTTCCCTGCTCCAGTTTAATGGGGAAATTTTGATTTTGGCCCTGATTTTTTTCAGCTTTCACGGTGATTTTTGAGCTTGCAGTGCTCACTCTGGGGTTGTTAGTGCTGGATTTTGGGAAGGGTTGGGTAATTCCTTGTGGAGAATTCCTGGTGGATAATTCCTGGTGGATAATTCCTGGTGGATAATTCCTGATAGATAATTCCTGATGGATAATTCCTGGTGGATAATTCCTGGTGGATAATTCCTGATGGATAATTCCTGGTGGATAATTCCTTGTGGTCATTCCTGGTGGATAATTCCTGGTGGATAATTCCTGTGGATAATTCCTGTGGATAATTCCTGGTGGATAATTCCTCATGGTCATTCCCTGTCCCAGTTCTGTCTCACAGGCAGTGGCCACCTGGGCTACCTGGCCTCTCTCCCAATTATTGGGGAGAAAGACGTGGTTCAGGCTGATGATGAACCAGCATTTTCTTACCTCGTCGGGCCCTACATGACCATGACCAAGTAAGTGCAATTAAAGGGATTTTTATCCCCTCTGGGTGTCTGTCTGTCATTATTCCACAGCAAATCGTTGTACCAGCGCTTTGTTCGGGTAATTTTCCACGTCTGCTCTGTGTTTATTCCCTGTTTCCTGCTCACAACTCGTTTTMTGCTGTTCATTGATTAATATCTGAGTCATTCTGGTGTCTGAAAGCAGCCTGCAGGCAGTATTAATTAACCAATTCTGGGTTAATATCTAATCACTGATGGCAATATTTCAGTATCGATTCCTATGTGGTGGAAAATACGTTTGGAGTTGCACAGATTGTGTTGTTCAGTGTTTAATCTTTGTTAATTTTAGTCCAGGGTGTCTTCTGGATATCCAAGTGTGTTCAAACCTTGGGTGAAATGAGAGGGAATGAGAATTTAAAAAAAAAAAAAACTTCGCTATTGTTCATGAATTATTGTGTATTAAACACACAATTGTGTCTCAGAAAAATGACAAATGGGTGATTTAATCTCCCCAGAGCTCTGATTTGTGGCAATTTTTGAGTGTCCTTGACCTGGGAATGGTGGGATTTTTGGGCAGCAAAAATATTTTCTATCTCTGCCCTGCTCCACCAACCTTCATCAGGATGAGTTTATTGTCACCTTGAAAAAGCACAATCCCCAAATTTCCATTCCTGACAGCGGGAGRCACCACAAAATCCTCAGTGAGCAACCACAGAACTCAGAAAAACACTGCTGGAAGCTTCTGGTGCAAATCCCTGTTATTTTTGCAGCCTGATGTGGGGAGGCAGCAGAGTGACAGTGAAGGAGCTGAGTTTGCAGCCCCAACAGAACAACTCCAAACTGCGCCTGGGTGATCTCCTCCTGGCAGAGCAGGAGCACAGCAGGTGGGGAAAGAGCAGGGATTTGGGGTTTTGGGGGGTGGGAGGGATGGGGTGAACCTCAGGAGTGTCAGATTGGGGTTTTCCTTTCCTTCCAGAGGAAAAAAAAAATGTTTTGTCTCTTCCCGCTCCTTTTAAAATTGAGCATTTTCAGTAAAAATTGCACTGAAATATATGCCAGAGTCAAATAAAAAATAAAATTTTTTATTTCTGTCCAGATAAAAAATAAAATTTTCTGTCTTTTCCTGCTCCTTTTAAAATTGAGCTTTTTCAGTAAAAACTGCACTAAAATATATTCCACTGTCAGCTTGAGGTTTTCCTTTCCTTCCAGAGAAAAAAAAAATTTTTGTCTCTTCCCACTCCTTTTAAAATTGAGCTTTTTCGGTAAAAACTAAACTAAAATATATGCCAGAGCCAGATAAAAAATAAATTTTTTTATTTCTGTCCAGATTAAAAAAAAATTCTGTCTCTTCCCGCTCCTTTTAAAATTGAGCATTTTCAGTAAAAACTGTATTTGCACCAAAATATATTCCAGTGTCAGCTTCTTCTTTCTGTCCAGATAAAAAATAGAATTTTCTGTGTTTTCCTGCTTCTTTTAAAATTGAGTTTTTTTCAGTAAAAATTGCACTAAAATATATTCCAGTGTCAGCTTGGAGTTCTTCTTTCTGTCCTGATAAAAACCAAAATTTTCTGTCTCTTCCCACTCCTTTTAAAATTGAGCTTTTTCAGTCAAAACTGCATTTGCACTAAAATGTTCCAGTGTCAGCTTGGGGATCTTCTTTCTGTCCCGATAAAAACCAAAATTTTTTGTCTCTTCCCGCTCCTTTTAAAATTGAGCATTTTCAGTAAAAACTGCACTAAAATGTATTCCAGTGTCAGCTTAGGGTTCCTCTTTCTGTCCAGATTAAAAATAAATTTTTCTGTCTCTTCCTGCTCCTTTTAAAATTGAGCATTTTCAGTAAAAATTGCATTTACACTGAAATATATTCCCGAGTCAGCTTGGGGTTCTTCTTTCTGTCCAGATTAAAAAAAAAATCTGTCTCTTCCTGCTCCTTTTAAAATTGAGCATTTTCAGCAAAAACTGCACTAAAATATATTCCAGTGTCAGCTTGGGGTTCTTCCTTCTGTCCAGGTAAAAAAACAGAATTTTTGGTCTCTTCTCGCTCCTTTTAGAATTGAACATTTTCAGTGAAAATTGCATTTGCACCAAAATATATTCCAGTGTCAGCTGGGGGTTCTTCTTTCTGTCCAGATAAAAAATAGAATTTTGCATCTCTTCCCGCTCCTTTTAAAATTGAGCTTTTTCAGTAAAAACTGCACTAAAATATATTCCAGAGTCAGCTTGGGGTTCTGCTTTCTGTCCAGATAAAAAAAAAAAAAAAAATTCCACCTCTTCCCTCTCTTTTTAAAACTGAGCATTTTCAGTAAAAACTGCATTTACATTAAAATATATTCCAGTGTCAGCTTGGGGTTCTTCTTTCTGTCCAGATAAAAATGCTCCTTTTAAAATTGAGCTTTTTCAGTAAAAACTGCATTTACATTAAAATATATTCCAGCAAAAACACAACATTCATGTCATGTTGATAAAACCACTGAGCAGGCCAGGACTTTTCTTGTTTTAATCTTGGATTTCCCTTTTTTTTTGTTTTTTGCTCTCTTTTTTAGCAAACTCCGCCACCCTCACCTGCTGCAGCTGATGTCTGTGTGTCTGTCCAGYGACCTGGAGAAAACTCGTTTGGTCTTTGAAAGGGTTCACTTTGGCTCTCTGTACAGCATCCTTCACGAGAGGGTAACTGGAATTCTTCTGGTTTGAAATGATAATTCATTACAGTTTTAGTGATTAAAAATCTTTACTCAAGATTTCAAAATCCTCAGTCTGTATCAGTTTCTGTCGTGGTTCTTGTCCTGATTTTGAAAATCGATTCCTCTGTGTTTTATCGTTGTCATTTGATATTTTTCTCTTATTTTATTTATTTCCTTAATCACTTTTTAAAGTGACTTATTAATTTAATAAATTTTTTAAATCAATTAATTTTAAGGTAATTTATTAATTATTAAATACCAAATTTATTTGCTTTGATATTGGGAACAAACAAATGAATTTCCTCTTTCTCCTCCAATTAATTTCACATTTGCTCTCTTTGCTACAAACAATAACCATAATAAATAACAATAATTTTCTTAGATTAAATTTAACGACCTGCCATGCAAATTTGATGCTTTTTTTTTTTTCCCCAGCGTACAGAATTCCCAGTGCTGCAGACAGAGACAATTTTACACATTTTGCTGCAGATCCTCGACGCTCTGCGTTTCCTGCACTCACGGGGGTTTATTCATCGCTCCCTCTCCTCCTATGCCATCCAAATCGTGTCCTCTGGGGAGGCCAAACTCTGCAACCTGGAGTACATGATTGAGAGGTAAAAAAAAATTCCTCAGAGCTGCYGTGAAATGAGGGGTTGGACACCCAAAACCTCGTTGGACTGGTGGTAATTAAATACCATCAATAAGACAGTATTTTGTTTCATCTCCGTAAATTATTACTGAAATTATTCTCTAGACATAAAAAAATAAATAAAAGAATTTTTAAAAAAATTGAAAAATAAATTTGAAAAAATCAATTTTTGCAGGCTTCCTGTATTTTATCCATGGTCAGAGCTAAAGGGTTGTTTGTGGAGTTGTTGGGAAATGTTCAGCTTTTTCTTAGCTCTTTTTAGTGTAAATTTATTTAAGGTGTTGCTGCTTTTCCTTTTTTTTCAGAAAATCAAAGACATTTTCTGAACATTTTTATTTGCAGACACACTCTGGACCTTTTAAAATTTAAACACAAAGCTRTAACACACTCAGGTGTTTAATTCCAAATATAAACCTTGTAGTTGAATGTGTTGTGTGTCCCAATTTAGGATTTTTTTCCCTTTTTTTGCAGCAGAGACAGTGGAGAACACAGTGATCTGACCCGAATTCCTGTCCCAGTGCAGCTKTTCCGCTGGTCTTCCCCTGAAATAATCCTGGAAAAACCTGGMACAGCCAAATCTGACGTTTACAGCTTCTGTGCTGTGCTGCAGGAGGCTTTGACAGGTGAATCCACACCTTTGGGCTTTGATGGTTTAATTAAAAAAAATAAACCAGGAGAAAAAAAAACAACCCAAAACCCAAGTGTTAATAACAATAACAAAGATTGTCGGAAATTTCTGTGAAATGGGATTAAAAAACCTTAAAATTGTGTGGCTGAAGGATGAGATTGTGGTTAGAATTGGAGAGATGCAGTGGTTTTTTGCTTTTTATTTTTCTTCTTYCTACCAGCACAGCAAAACATTGAGTTAAGTCTTTCCAGTGTTCAAAACTGAGCTTGTGCAGCTTTTCTAATTTGGATCACTTATCTCTAAGTTATTGTTGTATTATTGTCATGTCTTGCTGCTGTTTTTACAGATAATGTTTGTTTTGTGTTCTCTTTGACTGTTCTGGTAGCAAAACAGGATAAACAATTACTCTAAAAAATTAATCTCAATGAAGAACCCAGAGCAGAGCTGTTTGCAGTGTCACTCTCCTCTAAAGGGAATAAATTCCCTTTAAAGGGAATAATTCAGGGAGGATATCCCAGTGCTTGTTTTTAGCTGCAAATTCAGGAATTAACGGGGAAAAATGCGATTTTTAAATTTTTTTTTAATTCTATCCACCCTGATATACAGCTGATGACATAAAATCTATCCTTGTGTCTTGCAGAGAGTCCTCCCTGGAAAGGTGTGGAAGATTCAGCTGTCAAACAGCTCCTGCTGGAAGGAGAGAAGCTGGAGGCAGATGCCAGGCTCCCCCTGCTCTATTATGATCTGGTCAARTCAGGCTTGGAACCCAAACAGAGAAACCGCTCCATGAAACTTCAGGATATTCAATATATCTTGAAAAATGACCTGAAGGTGATTTTCAGCATCCTGGGCTTTGCTGGGTAAAAACAGCAGAGTTTTGTGGCCATTTAGATTCAAGTTCTGCCTGAATCTGGGTGGGAGAGGATCCAGCGCTGAGTGTTCTGCTCATGGAGCTGAGCACCCTCAAAAGAGCAGGCAGAGACTCTGAACTGTCAAATACACTTGTATTTTATTCCTTTTTTTTTTTTATTTTATAGGATTTGGTGAAGTCTGAAAGCAGTGAAGTGTCCAAAGCATAGAAAACTGCAAATACAGTTGTATTTTATTGCTTTTTCTTTTATTTTATAGGATTTGGTGAAGTCTGAAAGGGATGAAGTGTCCAAAACACAAAGATGTGCAAATACAATTGTATTTTCTTCAATTTTTTTTGTTTTACAGGATTTGGTGAAGTCTTAAAGTGGTGAAGTGTCCAAAACATGGAGAGCTGCAAATACAGTTGCATTTTCTTCCTTTTTCTTTTATTTTATAGGATTTGGTGAAGTCTGAAAGTGTTGAAGTGTCCAAAGTACAAAGAGCTGCAGATACAGTTGTATTTTATTCCATTTTTTTTTTATTTTACAGGAATTGGTGAAGTCTGAAAGCAGTGAAGTGTTCAAAGCACAGAGAGCTGCTGTTTTTGCAGATGTGAACATCTGCTGGGCTTCAGCTTTTAGCTTCCAGAAGAGAAGAGTGGAATTCCAGGAAAAAGAGAGGAGCAAGGCTGGTGAGTTCCTTGGATGTCACTGTGTCCTTCACCCAGAGTGCTCCTCAGTCCACAGCAGTGTGACAGAAATTATTCAATGGGAGCAAAGAATAAAATGGGAGATTTTATGGGATGGGTTGAAAATCAGAGAAAGAAAGGGAAAAAAAAAAGAGAGAGAAAGAGAGAGAGTGTAAGGAAAGAAAGAAAGAGAGAGAAGGAAGGAAGGAAGGAAGGAAGGAAGGAAGGAAGGAAGGAAGGAAGGAAGGAAGGAAGGAAGGAAGGAAGGAAGGAAGGAAGGAAGGAAGGAAGGAAGGAAGGAAGGAAGGAGAAATAAAAAGAGAAAGAAAGAGAAGGAAAGAAGGTAAGAAAGAAAAGAAAGAGAGAGAAAGAAAGAAAGAAAGAGAAAGAAAGAGATAGAGACATAGAGAAAGAGAAAGAAAGAGAAAGAAAAAAAAAGTAAAAAAGAGAAAGAGAGAAAGTGAGACAAGAGAGAGAGAGAGTGAGACAGAGAGAGAGAGAAAGAAAGAAAGAAAATAAAGAAAAAAAGGAAGGAAATAAAATAAGAAAGCAAGCAAGCAGTTGGCTTTGCATTTGAGCCACCACTTAATTGTTAATGTGGTCTCCAGGCTYGAAATCTCTTTTAGGCACGAGCAGAGACGGCAAACGCCGCTCCCAGAATTCCCAAATTTCTAAAATGAACCCCTAAGCGTGCAAAAGCCAGCGTGGTGGTCGGATTTCTGTGGCAACTGTTTAATGGTTGAAATTGCATTTTTCCAGGTGGCTTTTGTGCCCCCCAGGACTGTGTTTTCCCCAAGGAGAGCGGAGCTGTGGTGCTCCCGGAGACGCCGGCCAGCGCGGAGCCGTCCCCACGGGACAGAATCCTGGATGTCTCCTCTGAGCTCCAGACCAGAACTTCTGACTCCAGTGAGAGTGATGTGGATGGGAGCCTGTGCAGCTTTGAGATGAATGAAATCCTGGCCAGTTATCCTGGAGATTGCCAGGATTTCCTGGAAGGAGGGCCCGGATCGGGGCGAGCGCTGCAGGATGCGGGAAGGCAGCGGGATGAGGAGGAGGAGGAGGAGGATGGGGAATCCTCGGGGTCCAGCACTGTGTTCACTGCAGAGGAGGAGGAGGAGGAAGAGGARAGAGTGAGAGGAGACACCAGTCCCTGGCAGAGCCAGCAGCACTTCAGCAAATGCGTCCTGAACCTGAAAATCATCCAGAGCATGCTGCAGCAGGCTGGGGAGTCCCTGTGCAGGACTGAGGAGAAGCTGGACAGGCTGAAAGCCATTGGCAAGCGCAAAAAACTGCTCCAGGAAATCAGGATGAATCTGCTTCCTGAGGAAAGTTTCCAGGGGAGGCACTGGGATGATTCTGATGCTACTTCCCAAAATTCTGAGGAGCCTTTTTCTGAAGACGAAGCTTTTTTACCCCAAGCTGTGGCTCCACGGTGCAGGGATTACATTCCACCAGCAGTGACGTGTCAGGCACAGGGCAGGGACCATTTCCAGGCTGTTCCCAAGGCAGCCAAGGAAACTGAGGCAATTCAGAGTGAAAAATGGAAGAGTAAAACCTCAAAAAGCCGTCGTGATCCYGGCTGTAGYGTGGGGAAAGGCCTGGATGATGGARMAAGTCTGACCCAGGAGGTAAAGTGTGGAGCTGTTGATTATTTCTGAGTTCCTCAGCAGGTGGTGGCCAAGGGGAGGGATCAATSTGAACTCTAAAATCTATAAATATCCATTAAAGATAGGAAAAATAAGAGCTCAGCAGTACAATTGTRTTTTTTCCTCTTTTTCTYCACTCTTCCCAGGAAAATACTGAAMCAGTGGCTCGGGGTGGGGTTAAAATCCAAATCCAACCCTAAAATGGAGATGGGATTCTCTAGAAATATTTCTATTTGTTATCAGGGCAGGCTCATGGATCCCTTTCATTGTTAAATACACAGAGGGAAATCCAAGCACATCTCTCCTGTGAGGATAATCCTGAGTCACTCACCCCTGGAAAACTCCTGTTTCCATTACCCCTGAAAGCTGCTGTAAACCCAGGGCGGTTTTTTTTGGAGCTGTCATCCTTCCTCCTGAGCAGAGCAGCTAAATTTGAGCTCAGGGGGTGAATTTTTTTTGCTCAAGTCCTGCTCTGGGGCTGTCTCCCAGATGAGCAGGATGCCCAGYGTGCGCTGAATCACCACTCCTTGGACTTGTTCCAGCCTTTCCTCCCACACGTGGCTGCCAGGTGCCAAAAAAAGTTCAACTTGCAATGTCATAGAGGAGCTGATTCACATCCTGCAGCGAGCAGGGAGGAGGAGGAGAAGTGGTGAGTTTGGATTTTATTCGTGGAAAAGTTGATTGGGACGGATTGGTCAGGGGCAGGGCTGGCGTGAAATGTTTGTCAGAAAAGGCAAAAGCTTTGCAAAGAGGAGGCTGATGTGAGTCACTGCTTTTTGTGTTCTTGGTGTTCAAAAAAAAAGGTGTTAAAGAAGATTTCAGGTGCCTCTGGGGTGGAGATCAGTGCTCCAAAACTGGAGCAATCTGGGGAGATTTTAATTGAGGGGATTCTCCTCTCTGGGCACAGCCTCCTTCAATTCCCACTTTTCATCTCAATCCTTTGTGTTTGTAAGAGTGGAAAACACGTGTTGAAATTACCTGGCAGAACTCGTGTGGATTCATGTTGGAAAGTGGGGGAAAAACCCCTCCTGCAGTTGATCAAATTGGGAAAAATGCAGTTTTAAAATTAATCCATCACCCATTTGGCCATTTTAAATGAATCCTTCACCCTTTGGTTATTCAGAATAAGTCCATCACCCATTTGGTTATTCAAAATGAGTCCATCACCCATTTGGCTATTCAAAATGAATCCATTACCCATTTGGCTATTCAGAATAAATTCATCACCCATTTGGCTATTCAGAATGAATTAATCACCCATTTGGTTATTGAAAATAAATACATCACACGTTTGGTTATTGAAAATAAATGCAACTCCCATTTGGCCATTGAAAATGAATCCGTGACTTACTAGTCCATTTTAAAATAAATCCATCACCTATTTGGCTATTCAGAATGAATCCATCACCCATTTGGTTATTCAGAACTAATCCATGACCCATTTGCCTATTTTAAATGAATCCATCACCCATTTGACCATTTAAAATAAATCCATCACCAATTTGGCCATTTAAAATAAATTCATCTCCCATTTGGTTTTGCAAAATAAATCCATCACCAATTTGGCCATTTAAAATAAATTTATCTCCCATTTGGTTATTCAAAATAAATCCAGCACCCATTTGGCTATTTTAAATAAATTCATCACCCATTTGGCCATTTAAAATAAATCCATCACCCCTTTGGCTATTGAAAATGAATCCATGACCCATTTGGCCATTGAAAACTAATCCATGACCCATTTGGTTATTCAGAATAAATCCATGACCCATTTGGTTATTCAAAATAAATCCATCACCCACCCATTGGGCCATTTTAAATGAATCCATCACCCATTTGGTTATTTAAAATAAATCCATGACCCATTTGGCCTTTTAAAATAAATTCATCACCCATTTGACCATTGAAAATGAATCCATGACCCATTGGGCCATTTTAAAATAAATCCATCACCCATTTAGTTATTTAAAATAAATCAATCACACATTTGATTATTCAAAATAAATCCACCACCCATTTGGCCATTTTAAATGAATCCATCACCCATTTGGCCATTTAAAATAAATCCACCATCCCTTTGGCCATTTTAAATGAATCCATGACCCCAGAAAGACCCCCTGGTAAAGGTTAGAACAGAAATATTCCAGGTGCTGGTGTGGTCAGTGATGGTCAGGGAGTGAACTCTGGTTGTTGTCCAGGTGTGAACCTGTGCTCACCTCAATAAAACCATCCCCAGCTCATCCCTGTTGAGTTTTTTGGATTTTTACCTTGTCTGGTTCATGGAGAATAAACTTAAATATTAATTTTCTGTGCTTTCCAAGCTTCTGGCAGCTCGAGCTGTTAAAGGGCTGAGAGCAACACGTGCTCTAATTAATGATAAAACAACTTTTGCTGGCTGAACAGCACGTGCTGGTGCTCTGGAGGAGYTGGGGCATTTCATCCTCGTTTGTTTTTTGCAGGTGCCAGTCAAAACCGAGGGCTGAATTCTGCAGCAAAAAAAGCACTGAGAGGAGGAGGGTGGTGCAGTCGGGATGGAGGAGTGAGTAAATCTGTGTTAAATCTGTGTTAGATGTTAAATCTGTGTTAAATCAGTGCTGATTCAGTGTTAAATCTGTGTTAAATCAGTGTTAGATCACTGTTAAATATTAAATCAGTGTTAAATCTGTGTTGGATGTTAAATCTGTGTTAAATCCGTGCTGATTCTGTGTTAAATCTGTGTTACATCAGTGTTAAATCAATGTTAAATGTTAAATCAATGTCAGATCAGTGTTAGATCAATGTTAAATCATGTTAAATCTGTGTTAGATGTTAAATCTGTGTTAAATCAGTGTTAGATCAATGTTAAATGTTAAATCAGCTTTAGATCAGTGTTAGATCAATGTTAAATCTGTGTTAAATCAGTGTTAGATCACTGTTAAATATTAAATCAGTGTTAAATCTGTGTTAATTCAATGTTAAATTGTGTTAAATCAGTGCTAAATCAACATTAAATCAGTATTAAATCAGTGTTAAATCAATGTTAAATCAGTGCTAAATAAATGTCAAATCAGTGTTTGTTATGTCAATGTTAAATCAATGTTAAATCAGTGTCAGGTCAGTGTTAAATCAATGTTAAACCCATGTTAGGTCAGTGTTAATGTTAAATCAGTGTTAATTCAGTGTTAAATTTTGTTAAATCAGTGTTAAATCAATGTTAAATCAATGTTAATTCAGTGTAAAATCAGTGTTAATCCAGGGTTAAATCAGTGTTAATTCAATATTAAATCAGTGTCAGGTAATGTTAATTCAGTGTTAATTCATTGTCAGCTCAATGTTAATTGAATATTAGATCAATGTCAAATCAATGTTAAGTCAGTGTTAATTCAGTGCTAAATCAGTGTTAAATCAGTGTTAAATCAATGTTAAATCAATGTTAGATCAATGTTAAATCAATGTTAAATCAGTGTTAATTCAGTGTTAGATCAATGTGAAATCATTGTTAATTCAGTGTTAATTCAGTGTTAAATCAATGTTAATTCAGTGTTAAATGAGTGTTAGATCAGTGTTAAATTCAGTGTTAATTCAGTGTCAGATCAGTGTTAATTCGGTGTTAATTCAGTGTCAGATCAGTGTTAAATCAGTATTAGAGCAATGTCAAGTCAATGTTAAATCAGTGTTAATTCAGTGTCAAATCAATGTGAAATCATTGTTAAATCAGTGTTAATTCAGTGTTAATTCAGTGTTAAATCAGTGTTAGATCAGTGTTAAATTCAGTGTTAATTCAGTGTTAAATCAATGTCAAATCAATGTCAAATCAGTGTTAAATCAGTGTTAATTCAGTGTCAGATCAGTGTTAATTCAATGTGAATTCAATGTTAATTCGGTGTTAATTCAGTGTCAGATCAGTGTCAGATCAGTGTTAATTCAGTGTTAATTCAATGTTAATTCAGTGTCAGATCAGTGTTAATTCAGTGTTTATTCAGTGTCAGACCCATGTTAATATCAGAAACCTCTCTGCAGTGCAGCTCATTAAACCCTCCCACGTGAGGAAAGGTCTCAATGCCTGAATTTCTGAATCTCTCTGAGTTTTTTTTTCCCTTGGCTGCAAACCCAGTGAGTGGGCTCCTGTGTCTGGCACATCCCAGGCACGAAATAATCCCGGTCCCGTTGGAGCTGAAGGGATTCCCAGGCTGGTTTTGGGCAGGGTGTGGATTTAGGAAGGGCAGGATGGCAGTGCCCAGAGGATGGCAGCACGACCACATGGAAAACGGAGACCCAAACCAACAAAAACTCCACATCCATTTAACAGGATGGAACTATTTCGCCCTTTCCACGACAATTCCACAAAAAACACAAAACTCCAGGCACAGGGGATGCTTTGAAGGTGCAGATTATGGGATGTGAGCGGTGATTTTGTTCTTTTTGCCCAGCTGAGGTGAAGCAGATGGCCAGGAGAGCTGTCTCAGGACGCCTGGGGCTGGGCTGTCCATACCCAGCTGGGGAATGCACATCAGAGAGTGAAGCTGAAAGTGTCCAGGAGAGCTCCCAGAATGTCCAGAAAGGTCAGGGACAGCAGAGGTGGCATCAGGGTGACAATGCCAAACCCTGGGGTGGTGAGGACACAACCAAGCCTGGGCTCAGGGATGTTCAGCCCACAGCCAGGAGTTGCAGAGGTGAGGCTCAGAAATCATCTCTGTTCTCCTTTTGTCTCTTCCCATTGCCAGATTTTTTTTCTGAAAACTTGATTTTCAGTTTGGATTTTTTTTAATGAGAATTGTCAGATTGATCTTCTTTGCCCTCCACTGAGTCACTGTGAGCACAGATGAGTGTTCAGTGTTAACAGGTGGAAGGGATGAGTTTGCAGACCTCCATCATCGCTGATTATTGTTAAAAAAAAACAATAAACCCAAAGGTTTCAGCCCCCTGAGGGTGCTTTCACACTTTATTTCTRCCTTTTGCTGCAGCAGCTCAGTGGGTAATGCTTTTCAAAAAGTTCAGGACAAAGCAASAGAGGAAAAGGTTCCCCTGCTTAGCTTAATTAACGAGGTGAGCCTTTAAATGTCATTATTTCTCCATGTTCTGGCAGACAATTGCTATCACTGCCTGCTCTCTGTGATATTCCAGCARTGCCTCAGATCACTCGCTCCACATCATTTTTTTATTCATTTATTTTTTTAATGCTTAATGATTTTGTTCCATTCTGCCATCCTAGGGAGGAACTGCCCGTCCCCAGCAGCAGATGAGCAAGCAGAGTCTGGAATAGCCATTGCTAAGAGTTCAGTCCTCCCTCAGCCAGCTGAGAATCTCTCTAGAGTATGTACAGAACCCGAGCAGTTCAGTTGGAGCTGAATTTTTTGTGAAGTTTAGCCCCGTGTTGCATCCTGAGCTGATCTGAGTAACAATTCCCCTCCTCCTTCCTCCCCTTTTTTTTTGGTTGTTTTGTTCTATAAAACACCGAGTTAGTGCAAGGAGCAGGAGGTGGGGTGAAAATCTGAGCAAATGGAGTAGAAATTCAGAATTTCAGTRGTTTTTAGGCTGAAAAATTCAGCCTAAAAAATTTAGAATTTCTGTGGTTTTTATTAGTCTCAGGTGGTGATGTCTTTCACAGGGGCATTCAAGGGAATTCTGCTGTTCCCTTGATTCACCTCCTGATGTGACTGAAGAATTCTTCACTCCTGATTATTTCCTTCCTCCTGCTCTGGAGGGAAGTGCAGAACCAGAGGTAAAAATYACACATTTTGGACATCAGTTACACAATGTGTTCTTTAATCGTGCTCTCAGTTGGTTTGAAGAGAACTGTGGAAAATGGGAGATTTWAAAAAAAARWTATTATTCTTTTCTTTKGAATTAGTACCTGCAAATAAAGATTTAGAGGAAAAATAGAGTAACAAAATTAATCTTCATGAATTTCTTGTGGATTCAAAACTTTTCAATGGATTGTTAAATCCAGTCTGGGCCGTTTGCTGCTGAGCTCCTGAGAAGTTCCTCTCTCCACTCTCATTTTTGGGAACACCATCCTGGGAGGGCTGTCCTTCTCTTTTCAGCTGCTCTGTCAAAAACCAAATTAATTCCTTTTTTTTCCCTTTTCAGACCTCAAACGCTGAGGGCAGAGCAGAAGGTGYTGGTGAAGGATTTTTACAGAAAATCCCTGCAGATGCAGGATCAGGAATTCAAACTCCAGGTAAATTTCCATTTTCTGGAACCACTTCTAGCTAAAGGACACAGATTTTTCTCATTGACATTTTTGCCACAAGGCTGCACCTTCACTCTTCAGTTATTCTCTTGCTCCTCATTATTTTTGGCAGAGTTCAGGATTTTGGGAGGTAAAGTTCCACCTGAAACAATTCTAACCAATTCCGGCTGCGCCGTTTATTTCTCTCCAAAACCCAAAACAAAACTCATYGGGAACCTTTTTATTTTTCACCCCTGGGGGGCTGCTTTTAATCTTTTTATGCAACTGGCTGGAAACTGAATTAGAGTTGTATTTACACATGAATATTCTCATTGCTGGGAGGATCTGGGATGCAGAGAGAGTGCGTGTGCAGAATAACGGAGGAGTCGTTGTTGTTTCCTTGCTCTGTTGTTTTTTTGGTTTTTTTTGCTGCAATTTGTAAATGTTGTGATATTCCCCAGCGCTCCAGTGGCTGCCTGGCAGCTGTGCCTTGTTTATGAAAATGCATCTTTAAAGCACATTTTGTCTCTACATAACAACAAAGGTCGCAAGAATGGGAAAACTACAACAACAGCAGCAACAAAAATAAAAAAAAAATTTAATAAAGTTGCAATTTCCTGCTCGGTGAGTTGTGCTGGTTTTTCTTTTTGTGCAAAAGGTAATAATGGGGAATGTTTGTGGTTTTTGTTCAGGGGGAAAAATGCCATCCTGCAGCCCCAGAGCATCGCAGAGCTCCAGGCTGGGAGGGAATCTGAGCCCAGAGCCYGCAGCCAGGTAGGGAAATTCTCCTTTCCACTGCTCCTTCAGGCAGAAATTCATTTATAAATCATGCTCTCTTCATTAATTCTGCTTGGATATCTAATATTCAAATAAGTTGCCAAGATAAGTGGTGGTTTTTAAGGATTATCTGYGGATCTCAGCCCCTGAGAGAGAAAACTCTGAAAGGGCTTTCACAACTCTTGAGGGATTTTATCTTTTGCAGAGTTTGGTGCGGTTTTTTTGCGTTAATGAAGGGAAAAAAAAACCCCATGTGAATATCACAGTTCCACTAATAAATAAAAATTATCTTTGCTTAAACAGAGCAAAGATAATTCAAATTAAACCTTCAGTCATCTGCTTTAATTTTGTCGTGCTTTGGAGTGCCATGAAGATTTTCCTGCCTTTTCCCTTCCCCTGGGATCAGCTCAGGAATATTCCTGGATCTTCCTGGGGGTGCTTGGAGCTTTTTCAGCCTCCTCTGTCCAGCACCTGGGTTGGTGTCGCTGTAAATTTTGGATTTTCCAGCGTGGAGAGAATTTGGGCAGAGCTCTGTGACCTTCAGGGCTCTGTTGCCTCCACCCCAAACAGCTCCCTGGGACAAAGGGAGTGGAAATCACTTGGTTTTAGGGTAAAAAAATAACAGATTTGGGTGTTCTTCACTTAGGAGCTGAGTTTGAGCTCTCTGAGCATCCGACCTTGAGTGGGCTCCTCACAATCTGAGAGCTCAAAGGATGATAAAACCTTTATTTTATTTATCTACTGTATTTTTATTTTATTTTTTAACCTTTATTTTTTGTTTTATGCACGGAGAGATGTGTGTTCCTAAGCTTGCATTTATTTATTTATTTATTTATTTATTTATTTATTTAATTAATTTTAAATTTATATTCTTTAATTTCAGCTTTAATTTCAGCTTTAATTTTAGCTTGTTTTGAATCCACACACATCAAAAAAATTTGAAGTTTTACCCTTTAGTGGAAATAAACCCACAAACTGTTATAAATGACATTTTTCTGCCACTCTCCACTTTCTAAAGTTTTAATCAAAAAGTTTTTACAGGCTGTARAAATTTCCTGAGAGAAAGGAAACCAAAAACTTGTATTTTCATGATTTTCTGAGGGTGAATTTGACCTTTCCTCCCTCGTTTCAGCGTGGATGAAGCACAAGCAGCGTCGCTGTGGGAGCCACAGGAAGAATGCCAAGAAAAAGATGTGTAAGAGCCACATTTTCCATCAAAATTTCAGCAAATTGGTCATTAAATCCAGAATTTTGTGTTGGTGCAAGACAGGCAGATGAGACAGACCAAGAGAAAAACCCCCTGGAGAATTTTCATGTGAAAAGTTGGGAGATTGGTGCAAAAAAAAAAGTTTGAAATATTTTTGTATTTGTAAATAATGAGCTCGGGGTTGATCTGGGTGTGMTTATTTATGAAAGTGTGAGGATTCCTCCTTTCTCCTCTCCATATGGTGCAGGGGGAAATAAAATCTTAACTTTAAAGAGCAAATGTGGAGGAGCCAAATCAGTTTTATTACA